TTTTTTTTATTATTCGTTCACAAGCTCTTTACACAGACCTTTACAAAACAAAAACAAACGAACGAACATGATTTCGTAAGGCACGTGTGACTGTTGGCGTTGAAACGTCGCGCGCTTCTCCTCGCGCCGGACCTTACGTGCCAGCAAATAAATACGTCCTTCATTTTCCTACGTGTCGCGTCTCGACCGTATCCAGTTTCCAGCTTGCTCGTCAAACGCATCGGTTCATGTTGGGACACGCAAGCGCGTTTATCGTCCTTTGTCAGAATTCGCCTCGTCTCTGCGACACCTACGACGCGAGTACGTTCGCGCCCTCTCGCGCTCGCGTACGTGCTTACACTTGGATACATACGCGATAGTGGGCAACTTTGGGTGGGAGATGCGTCGCGTATATCTGCTAGAGGAAACGCGTGAGATCGATCGCGCGGCGCGGACGAAACCTTCACGGAGGCAGGAACAAAGGCGTCCGAGGTGGAAAAAGTCGATAGGAACGAGAAGGTCGACGAGCAGCGGGAGAAAGAAACGGGGAACGCCCGTGCTAGTGTTTCCCTTTTGCACGCAGAGGGGGCGAAGTCGTCCGACCGAGTCGCCATTCGACGTCCGTCGGTACGGTCGAGCGCAATCGGTAAAGTGTATTTAGTCGGTAAGGTTGCGCGCATCTCGAGCGCGAGTTTTTAACGCAGTCGAGTGGAGTCGCGACCGACTCCGCTTTCGGTGGCGATTTTAATTATGTGTTCGGTTTTACAAGTACAAATAAATAGAGAGAAGTCGTCAGGGGAAAAGAAACAGGGAGACGAGTAGAGAGAAGGAAGGAAAGAAAGAGAGAGAAAGAGAGAGAGAGAGAGAGAGAGACAGAGAGAGGGAGAGAGAAAATGGCAGACAAGCAGACAAGTGAGTAGATGAACAAACACACAAACAGATACGGGTAGATAAAGAGAACGAAACATTGGACGATGGACGAATCGACGTCTAGTTTCTTTTCGCCTAGAAACGAAACAGGAAATCCAAGAAACGGTGCAGGTACACGATTAATCGCGTCGAAGTTCTTCCGGTTCGTACACGTCCTCGTCGTCTGTGGTTTCTGGCTCTCGCGAGCATCTTTGGTCGGTAAAAAAGTTGATCGATGCGCTGGTCGTTTTCGAGTCGTCGCCAACAGTGGCGTTCGCGTCGCCATTGCTCGGCACCGCGCGACGTTTAACTTTGGTGGCGAAACTTTCGACTGTCTGTTTTATCGTTTCTTCTACTTTTTTTTTTTTCTCCTTTCTCTTCGTTTCGTCTGTCCTGTTCGTTTTCTTCTTCTTCCTCCTCTTCTTCTTCTTCTTCTTCTTCTTCTTCTTCTTCTTCTTCTTCTTCTTCTTCTTTTTCCTCTTCGTTACGTTCTCTTCGTTACGTGGGCTGTCGTGGTGGAAGTGATAACCGAAAAGAGATCGCAACCAGCTTGACTAGCGATTGGCTCTAGTGGTGGCACGCTGCGAAAGACGAAAAAAGAACGTGTGAAAAATTAATGCTAATCGCTAAAAGTAAGTCACAAGTAAGGAGCGCGTTGACGCACTTACGTAAGGGTCGTCTGTCGATTGAGGGTTGCGGCGGTGGGTAAAGCGAGGGGCGAGTGCGCGTGGCTCGATCGCACCGCGATCGGTGTACCTACGGTCGAACGACGCTCGTCGAATCTTCCGTTCCCTTCCAACGCGTTACCGTTTCCGGTCTCGTTCTCGGCGCGATTTCCGCTGATACTGCTACCACCACCACCACCAACACCACCACCACCACCATCACCACCACCACCACCACCACCACCACTACCACTACCGCCATCACCATCGCCGCCGCCGCCGCCACCACCACCACCACCTGTTGTACCTGTTCCAGTCACTGGCTCGCTCTCGTCCTCCTGCTTCGTCGCCGCATCGGCCCCTATCCCGCCCCCGTTACCACCACTACCACCGCTCCCGTACACGTTCAACTGCAGCGAGTCCACTGGAAGGTTAAAGAANAAAAAAAAAAAAACCAACGATTCGAATCGATCGTTATACACGGTCGTTTCTCTCCGCTCTCCGCTCTTCGCTCTCTTCGCTTTCTTTGCTCTCTTCCCATCTCTCGATTGACGACGACGACGACGACGATAAATTTTTTCATCTCCATCCGACGCGTGTTCCTTTCTCAAATCACCGTCCGAAAGAGCGGACCAAGATACGTAGGTACACCAGCGTTCGTTCGCGATCTCGTTTTCTCGAAGAGAAAAGTAAGCGAGGCGGGGGGAAAGCGGTTAAGACGGAAAGGACAAACTGAATGACAAACTTGCTCACCGAAGACTCACCGAGTAAGCTAGACTTAATCTCGGTCTTGTGCATGCCGCTCGGACCAGCCAAGTTCCCGCTCATCCCCGAGTGATTCTTCGGCTTTCTCTTCCTCGTCTGTATTCCCTCCTTCTTCATGCTGAGCGGCCTGTTTACCTGCGCAACGAACAACAGTCGAAGAAAGATCGAACAGAAGAAAGCGGCCGAGCGAGAGGGCAAGTGGGTTGTTTCTCCGCGAACGTGCGCACGAGATTGATCGAATTCGTGGAAACGCGATAAACGTAATTACTTACTCGTATCGGCGTTTTCGATCGCGACAGAAACAATTACTCGATAACGTTCACTTCGTTGTAGTCCGACGCGTACGCGAGCCATCATTCGATCGACGATTGATCGATACACCAGTGCTTTCGCAAGTGACCGCGCATTTTCCACTCTTTTGTTCGCGTATTTTTGAAACTGGCGACTAATCGTCATAACTGAGAACGCGACGATGACGCATCTGCTCGGTCGCGGAATGCTACCTTCACTGTTTAGGTACTTCTCCATTTGAGGGTAAAACTGTCGCGAGTTGCTCTCGCAAACGAACACTGCTTCTGAGAGTTACTCAACTGTTTGAGAGAGAAAAAAAATTGGAGAGAGAAAGAAACGAAGAAGAATACCTTTGGTGTGTGCAACAACAACTGATTGCCGACCATAACTATCTCCATTTTTTTCATTCTACGTCATTCCTCGTTGAGCACGTTCATTTTCGGTCCCGACTGTCCAGGGCACTAATATTATACTGCAGTAATATCATACAGAAACGCACACGCACGCGTCGTATCGATGTGATTTCGAAACGACGATGCAGCGAACCGTGCACCTTACGCGACCGACACGCGCGCGTTTCGGCAACGTTTTCGGAACGATTATCAGAGCACCGGGGCGACGACACGCTGCTTTAGATAAAAAGCTACAACAGTTGCGTAACGCCAACTAAGAAGAACCTACAATCACGAACCGCCGCGGTGTGACCGCGTTTCTCTCTCGACTCCCAATCGATCGCCTGTCGGCTGGATCGATGGATTTGGAAATCCCGGAGTGGATTCGACTTCGCTCTAGATTTAGGTCACCTCGGGCGCGCCCACGTTCACTACCGCCGAAACTCGACGATTCCGAAAGGAATCGTCGGTCGTCGACTCGACCGGCGAGAGGGGGCTAGCTAAAACTCACGTTGTGCAGTTTGAAGTAGAGGCCGCAAGCGTTGCACACCGGCTCGCCGTTGTTGTTCCGCCGCCAGAGGGTCGTGTTGCTCGTCTTGCAATTGGCGCACTGAACGCCCGTCCTTCGTACACCCGTCTGCAAGGGGTAGAGATCAAAGTAGAGAAAGAGAGAAATTATCGCCGGCAACGCGAAAATCGGAGCGTTCGAGGCGTAGAAACCAGAGTAAACAACAACCGGGACGCGAGTGCTCGCGCAGCGATTGTTTGCTCTCGGCAACAGATAACGTTCGTTCTTTTTCCATTTTTCTTTTCTTTTCTTTTCTTTTCTTTTCTTTTTTCTTTTTTGTGTCTGTTGCCACGGTTATTTCGCCGGTCGAACGACGCTCGCCACGCGCGAGAGATGGCGGGAAAAGAGAGATGAGAAAGAGGAGGAGGAGGAGGAGGAGGAGGAGGAGAAGGAAATTTACCGGGGCAACAGGTTGCTTCGGTTTGCCGCATCTGCTCATTGCCGGCCTGTTCACTCCGTTCATCTTGTTGTAGACGCAATTGTGACAGTAGCAACGGCCAGTTTCGTCCCTTCGCCAGGCGGTGGTCGGGATCCCGCAGCCAAAGCACTCCTTGGGATCGGCGACGATCGTCCCGTCGAAAGCGGCCTCCTCGCCGCCGGTGAGCGGCAGGTTCGACCACGGTGACGGTGGAACGGTGGTGGTGGCCCCGGTCGAGACGCTGTACGCCCCGCCAGAGTACAGCTGTATGTTGGCCGCGTCGCCGACGGAGATGGCCGTCACGTTCTGATAGCCCGAGACGCAGTCGAACGTCGGCGGTGACGGTGTCCCGGCGTTTGACCAGTACTCGCCGCCGCCGCCTCCGCCACCGCCGCCGCCGCCGCCGCCGCCGCCCCCTCCGCGAGAGAGACTGTCGGCGGTGGTTGGCTTGCCGTAAGGGTACGAACCTGGGCCTCCGGTCCCGTACAACGTCACCTGAGAGCCCGGCGATCCTGGCTGCTCGTGGCTGTAGTGTAGAGGCACTGGCACGCCGCGCGATCCTCCCAGCGAGGACGCCAGCGTCGGATCGCCGCCCTTCATGTACGCGCTTCCCGGCGACTCCACCTGAATCCCAAATCCCAATTTCAATCGTTCGGCGTCGTACAGATTTCTTTTTCATTCATTTCACTACCGCTACGTTGCCTGCCACTCGCTACTCACCCCGGTGACGCGCGTCGACAGTTGACCCGGTGACGGATACGCCAAGATCACTTGTTCGCCGGGTTTGGTGTAGGTGTAGGTGGAAGCTTGTTGAAACGTGTCGCTGCCGGATATGTACTGGTGGTACTGAACGGTTTGCGACTGCGGTATCGAGACGGTCTCGAGCGTGGTGTAGGTGCTCGATACCTTGATACCACCGTCGACCGGCACGGCGGCCGCGACAGCAGCTGCAGCCGCTGCAGCCACCGCCGCGTTCGTCGCTGCCACGTTTCCACCCTCGGTCTCGTACTTGATGCTCACTCCGCCGTCGGCGTTTACGAACCCCGTGATGATTTGCTGCGATTGTTGTTGCTGCTGCTGCTGCTGCTGCTGAGCCGAGTGCTGTTGATTGGCGACAACGGTCGTCGCGCGAATCCCACCACCGTCGGCAGCGATCGGCGGAGAGTAGGACGAAGGGGCGGGTGAATCGAGCTGCACCCCGACGCAGGTCGCGCCGCTCGCGTGAGAGACTATCGCGCCACCGTTCTCGTAATCGTCGCTCGTCGCAACCAGCACCGTCGGCGACGAACCGTGCTGGTACGATCTTCCACCGGTCGACTGACCACCTCCCTCCCGTGGACTGTATCTCTGACTGCCACCAGACGACTGGTGAACGATTCGCTTCTCGTGCACCGTTGTTTGCCCCGGGATCGCGTGATTGTTGTCCCTCCGCAACTGCTGTTGCTGCTGTTGCTGCCCGTCCGTCGAGTATCCACCGTAGATGCGATCAGCGTCCGTTCTATCCGGCTCCGGCGTCTCGTACCTTCTCGCAATCAAGGAAAATCATGTTTCGTCGTTCGATCGTCGAATCTCCTTCGTCTTTGCTTACCTAACCGTTTCCTTCATCGTCAGCACGCTCGACGGATCCACCGCTTCCGTTACCTCGACGCGCACTTCTTCACCGTTGCTCGTCAAGTAGACGAGAGATTGTTCGCTGCGACGAGCGTGCTGCTGCTGCTGCTGCTGCTGCTGCTGCTGCTGCTGTTGCATCTCGGCCTCGGTCTGAGAAATTTGCACGAAACTCGGCGACGTTCTCCTGCATCCTGGATCGCTCGCCTGTTGCTCGTCCTCGTACGCGCGCGATCTAGACTGCTGTTGGTGGGACGTTGCTTGATGATCGTCGATCGATCGAGGATGGTGACGAAGATGGTGGTGGTTGTGATGATAGTGCAGGTGATGCTGTTGCTGTTGCTGTTGATGTTGCTGCGAAGATTCGAGTCGTCCGGCATCGGGCGAATCGGCGTCTGGCTCGGCCACCGTTGTCTCGGTTATGTGCCCGGCGGTGGTGATGGTGCGCACGTGCCTTCTCGCGGTAATCACCGTTCGAGGACTCTCGGCCGATCGTTGTTGTTGTTGTTGTTGTTGTTGTTGCTGTTGCTGTTGCTGTTGCTGTTGCTCGTCGGACGTTGTGCTCGCCATCCGTGGCGAATCCTCCTCGACCTCGCTCTCCTCCCATTCGCGCTTGATCTCCTGCTTCGTCAGCGTCTCCTTCATCGCGAAGATGAACCTGCAACAGCCAGCCACCGGCACACCCTTTTTCAACCGATCCGAAAAAACGAAACGCTAGGCGACGACCGTCCCTCGTCCTCGAAAAGGTAAACGTTCGTGACGAAGCCGCTCTGGCACGCGACTCGCTCGCGTTTCGGAAGAAACGTGAGAATCGAGAATCGAGCGAGCGAGAGAGAGAGAGAGAGTGAGACGGGAGATTCGCCTTGGAACGCTTGGAAAACGACCGGAAGAGAAAACAGGCTTCGCGGCAGGAAGAGGCGGGGGTGGGGGGCAAAGGGACGGACGGCGCGCCTCGTCCGTCTCGAGAAAAAGCCGAGAGAACGAACCGCTGTTTACCCTGACTCGCGTCACACTTCCCTTCGACAATGTCAAGTTTCGAGACTTCCGGAGCGAGCACGCGACCGAGTCTACCTGTCTGCCTCTCTCTAGCGGCCCGCTGAGTCGCGACGCTACCGAGAAACGCTGTACGTAACAACGTCGGACATCACTCTTCCGCTCTGTAACCATCATCTGGCATTTGCATTTCCGTTCGGACATTCCTCCGAGTGTTGTTTGGCGTTTGCTCGCCAAAAACGTGGATTAACACGGTCGTTGACTCGCGAGCCTCGTTGCCGTGTTTGCTGTCATCCAAAAGAACGTCGTTGGCTCCGTCGATTTCGTTTCATCGACGCTTCGATTTAATCCAGCGGACGACAAGATACGACTCGCTTACGGAAACGCGTACAGAAACGATTCGACTCTCAATCGATCGTTGTCGAGAAACCGGTTTGAAATTTCACCGACGCGCGACGTACGTTACAATTTTCGAGAATCGTTTTACCTGAATTATCTCCAAAGTCTGTCGCGGGGGTTGGTGGTGGCTGGCGTTTAATCAGAAAATCTCACTTTCCGTTGGTTGGACGGGTTCCGAGGTTCACAGTGGAGCGTGCCGTGAGATTACGGTACAGCGACGAGCGGCGAGTGCAACGTTACACATCGCGAGAGAATTCCGCGACACCTCGATGGATGGTTGGACGGTCCAGCCTCAAGTCCGGCCGACTAGCGCAGAGAGAGAGAGAGAGAGAGAGAGAGACCACCCCCTGCGATCGCGCGCCCAACTTTGAGTTTCTCTCAGGATACGCGACGCGGAAATCGAATCGAATCGAACCGAACGGGTGAACCGCGGCGCGGCACCGAGCTCGTTTAACTGCTCGAGGCTCGTCGACTTTTCTCTCGTTCGAGGGAAAACTCGGCGGCGAAAGAGAGGAAGGAAAGGGAGAGACAGACGAGAGAGAGAGTGTCGGCGAGAATCTCTGGCTATCGAGTGGAAAAGAGGGAACGCGGAGAGGGGTCCGTTTGTTTGTTCGTCGATAACGAGCGGCCGCTCGCTAGCTCACGAACGAGATAACGCGTCGTCACGAGGGGTTGGGGGCAGAGAGAGCTAACTAGCGCGCGCGCACGCATCGCGAGAGGTGTCGCCGCTCCCCTCGCGCTCTTACTCCTCTCCTCTCCTCTCCGCTGTTCCAACACGCCATTTTGTTGCCACGGGATCGGGTACTCGGTGTCGTCGGTCCTCTTTCTCTCTCTCTGTGTACACCCGGGGGCCATTGGTAGGGTGTAACACGGTGAATCATTCGCACCCGCTCTCCTTATCGTTGTTTCCCTTTCTCTCTCTCTTTCTTTCTCTCTCGCGCGCGCGCTTCGTCGAGACCGAAGGCCGTGGTAGTCGATCGAAACGCCCTAGAACCCTTTCTCTCTCCCATCGTTCGAGCCCTCCGAAGCTGCCACATGGACGAATCGCCATCCAATGGTTCCTACCTCGCGAATCTCGACGACCAGCGTCGGCTGGTTACATCAGCGACCCTCTGCGCACTGATTCACCTTTGCAAACGATGCAGCGTCATACGCCAAGGTTTCACGACCACGATTCCCAACTTGTTACTCCATGCGACAGTATTTTATACGCGCAGTGGATTTACGTTTTCTATTAGGGACCTCAAGATCGACAATAAATAACGTCCTACGGTTAGTTCCGGATCTACGATCCACAATTAACTACCCCTGTCGATCCCACTGTCGACATTGTCGGTTTTCCAACAGTAACCGTCGTGTCTTCGTTTTCTCTCCTCGCGGCGAGAGCACACCGTGTTTTCGTCGCGCGCAAAAAAAAAAAAAGAATCTCGATGCCGGATTAACGGGAGAGTCGATGATAAAGATCAATACTCGCCCGATAACGCCGACTGCTCGTTGCTCCCCCCCACCTTTTTTTTTTTTTTGGTCTTTTTGTCTTTCGTCTTTTTGTCTTTTCGTTTCGTTTGACCTCCCCTCGCCTCCTCGTTCGTCGATAGGCGACCTTCGAAAGACAAAGCGCGAGCGAGATCGCTGGCGAGAATCGCGCGGAACTTTCCGCGCTAGATCGCACCGACCGACGATTCGTCCATCTTTGCCCCGTATCTTCGCTCCGGATCGAAAAAAATTCGTTGTTTATCGGGAGAACGAAGGAAACGAGTAGATTGCCTCGCGCTGTATCGTTGATAACGAACGATAAGGAATCGACCGAGTCACGCTCCCCTTTTCCTGACGCCGCGCCGCCGCACCGTCACTCGCAACACCCGGCGAGAAAATCACGCGCTTCGACGGTCATCGACGAGCGGAGAGACGATTTCTTCTCTCGACGTTCGACAAACTGTCGACAAAAACGCCGTGAAACGAGAAACGGGGGGAAAAAAGGGCAAAACGCGAGGCGAAATGTCGCGAGGTTGGTCGAACGCTCGAACGAACCAGGGGCTGTGGTACGAGTGAAGCCGCTTGCGGACGAACGCGTGAATGTCACGCGTTCGCGACCACCGATGGGGATGTCGAGCCATCGGCAAGAGGCACGCCGTTGTCAAAATAAACGACACTATCGCGATTTATCTCGTTTCCCATGATAATAAGAGATAAAACTGCATCCTTACATTAGCTAGTATATCAGCTAAAATGATAATTTCAGTCGTCGGGTTCGCCAGGAAGGCGTAGGGCCGTTTCTCTAGTTCCGCGGTCGAGTTTCGCGGCGACGCGCCACGCGCTCTCCGCGTCCTCTTCGAGTCTGTCTCTTCGAATCCTCGCGTACGATCCTCGCGAATTCGAATGTGCTGCTGCTGCTGCCGCTGCTGCGTGCGATCGATCCAGCGAGTAGCGCGGAATTTGGAGTAGAAGAGGAGCGGAAAATGGTGCGAGAGCCGAGGAATCGCGGTCAAGAACCATTCGGAAACACGGAAGGTTGGTCCAATATATACCACTTTCCCATTCTCGCAAGACCGGGTAAGCTCCATCGCTCGCCACGTTTTACCTTCCATTTCTGTCCTTTTCTTTTTTTCTTTTTCTTTTTTTTTTTTTTCTTTTTTCTTTTTTCTCTTTTTCTTTCTTGCGAGACGGGAGGGATAAAGGGAGGGAGGGGCAGCACAGGGTTGCGTCACAATTCAGAGTCGCAAACACGACGCGAGGCCATTTTCTTTATCAGTCGAGTAGGAAATTCTTATCGGCGTAAATGAAAATCCCAGGTGAGCCAGTGTGCTACGTGCGTACGTGCTCGCGCGAGCGAAACGATATCGAGAAACAGAAAAAAAAGGAAAAAGAAAAAGAAAAGGCGAACGATCGCGTAAGAAACGCGATATTTTTCTTTTTTTCTTTCCTCTTTTTCTTCTTTTTTTTTTTTTTTTCTTTCTTTCTCTCGCCGAGGCGCACTGNTTTTTTTTTTTTTTTTTTTTTTTTTTTTCTTTCTTTCTCTCGCCGAGGCGCACTGAGCAACAGCGCGTGCGCACGCAGCAAGGGATGACGCGCATCCGTGGCGATCGCGCGCATTACGCAATCGCCCATTTCTCGCCGAATCGAATGTCGCGCCGTGTCTCTTCGCGTCTCGCGCCTTCCGTTTCTGTAAATTTCCACCTCGTCATCCAGCCGTCTATTCCGTTCGATTCGAAGCGTCGCTCGTTTCTCTCTCTCTCTCTCTCTCTCTTCTTCTTTTCTCTACCGAAAACTGTCATGCACGAGTTTGATCATGGATTTAACGAGGCTCCGGCCCGGAGTCTCGAAATTGCTCGAGCCGTCGCGAAACGCGAGCAGCGCCTAAAGCTCTTTACGATCCGATCTCCGCGGCCGTGCGATAACGCGATCCATCGCTGCGTCTCTGCAGCGTTATACGCGACCCCGCGTTTTACAACGCAATTGCCCTAATAATTTACAACGAACGAACCACGTCTGCGAATAAACAACACGCTCTCCCTCTCTCTCTCTCTCTCTCTCGCTCCTGCCCCTGCCCCGTCCTCGGTCAACTCTTTCCGCGTAAACGACGTAAAACGAAAGGCAACACGCGCCGCCGCCAATTGCCGATTCTCCTCTCCAATTGTTGCAATCGGTGCGAAGAAAAGCACGGCAGCCGGCGACTCGCCCCGGGTCCAACAATCATCGATCGAGCAACAGGCGGCATTATCGTCGACTCTCCCGATATTATTCCATTATCTCACGACTATGTGCGTAACAAGTTATGTGCTCAACGATTAATAAAATATCTGCGCCCGTTAGGGGTATCCCGTTCCCGATATCGTATAGTTTCGCGGCAGATGTCGAGACGACCAGCTACTTGGATCGCGCGTCTTCCTTTCTTCTCTCTCTCTCTCTCTCTCTCTCTCTCTCTCTCTCTCTCTCTCTCTCTCTTTTCTTTTCTTTCGTTTCGTTTCGTTTCGTTTCGTTCGAACGAAAATGTCAACTGGGAACGCCCTTGCGATTGGCCGCAATCTGATCGCTAGAGAAACTGAGGAGGATCTCGCGTGAGCGCGCGCGCGCCCGCGTCAATTATTCACGAAACCACAAGTGTTGACTTTATCGTCGCGATCCGTGGTCGATCGACTCGGAAACGTAAAACACAAGTGTTTCGTTTCGAACGCGGTCGTTTGTGCACGCGCTACAAAAACAGACCGAGGTGTATCTCTCCAAATATCGTTCTATCCACCTTGCCTCTCTCGGAATTAGATTCCGATTGCCTCGATACGTCGCACCTCGTCTCGTCTCGTCTCGTCACGTCACGTCTCGTCTCGTCTCGTCTCGTCTCGTCTCGTCTCGTCTCGTCTCGTCTCGTCGTGTCTCGTAGCTGCTCCGTGCTACAACGCCTCGCATTATACTCTGCGTACCACGCTGCGTCCCCGGACTCGTCTTTTCTCGTTCTCTCCATCAATCATTCTCTCCTCCTCCTCCTCCTCCTCCTCCGAGTTCTCCACTCTTCTTTTTCTTTCTTTTTTTTGTGACTCGCGATCGTTCAGGACGGCAAAACCGAACCGATCCGTTTCGCAACACCAAGGGGCAAGCCGATAGACCGATAGAGAACGGAAAGAAGGAAGGAAACAGGCGCGCACGCGGTGTATATATATATATATTATATGCGAGAACGGAAGAAGGAGAGAAAGAAAAAAAAAAAGAGTGAGAGAGAGAGAGAGAAAGAGAAGAGTGGAAGCAAGAGCGAAATCGAAGCGGGAAAATTAAAAAAGATGGAAACTTACCGTGCCAGGGAGGACCAAGAGAGACGTGTTTCGCGTTTGGTAGGACGTTGCCGTGATACAACAGAGGCTTTCGAAATGATCGGAAACGATCTCGAAGAAGCGGTGTGATTTGTGTCGCGCCGACGGTCGACGGTCGACTCGCGGGACAGACGCGACGCTCTTACGATTCGGGAACGTGAAGGAGGTGGCGAAAGCGCGACGACGCGGCTTGACACAGGTGCGCTGCCAAGGTGTGCCGACGATTCGGGTCGGCTGCCGCCTGGTAGCGTCGCACCGAAGCTTCGACGATTCCGACAAACGGCGGAGAGGGAAGGCACACGCGCGCGATCGCGACCAACGTTAAATATTATTGACCGAACACGATTAGAGGAACGAACCGGGCGAGCGAACACAGCTACACGGTTCGCCCGCCGATCGATCGCTTTTCCCCGCGGCTCTCGCGGCCGTCGCCATCTTGGTCCCGCCGGCTCCAGTCCACTCTTCCTTCTTCTTTCTTCAAAAGTTTGGAAATTTACTTTTACTCGTAAGCGGAGTACAAGATGCGGGAATTTTTTCTTTTTTTTTTTTTTTCGCCATGATGAACCGAGTTCTCTCGGCGCGGTCTCGTACGCGCAAAAGAGGGGAAAAACGCAAGATACTGGAAAAAGAGAGAGAGAGAGAGTGGGGGAGAAAAGATGCGTACGTGACGTTATCGTTGACAACAGCGGGAAAAGAGGCGAGCTCGAGTGGAGAGCAGAGGGTGTCGTCATACTTGCAGAGCACACAACACGGGATTCCGCTGCGATAAGGCTCGCTCAGGTGAGACACGGTCGTAAGATGGGGCAGGGGCGCGATTTTCACTCAAATCCGAACCGGCCCGAACGCTCGAACGCCTCGCGCGTAGATACATACTATACTCGTGACCCTCGCGAGCAAACACAGCGCGCCCCGATTCTTCCCTTCGCACCCATCTCCGATAATTCCTGCCACACTCCGTTCGCTCCCTGGCACCCGGAATACGCCTCGTTCCCCACCAGTCGTACGCCAATGAGACATCATCACCGCCGCTGTTCGCTCCTTCTCGCGTCCTAACCTTTAACCGAGATTAGCCGAGATATCGCGGCCGTTATCGCCGA